ATGAAGTCTACATGTGAAGGATGAAGTCTACATGTGAAGGATGAAGTCGATGTGTGAAGGATGAAGTCTACATGTGATGGTCTGATTGTTAAATGATGACAAATGTATTTGTGAACATGGTGAATGGTAATATTTGTTAAATATGAAGATGGTGGTACCTGTAATTAAGAAGGAAGAAAGTCAGCTTGTAAAGACAAGTACCATGGCACACCATTTCTTTCAGCCCTTATGACAAAGGAAGCTTCCTTTTCTTTGTGAATTGTTCTGTAACATCACACAAATACTACATATGACTATATCTAGTCTTCTTTTGTTCAAAGCCTGCTCTTTCAAGCAGTATTATACTATGAACAATTCCTTTCAACTAAAATAAAATAAAAGACTGATTAAACTTATAAACATTTACAAAGGTCCTTGTTTATACATTCTATCTAAGTTATTTGATTACAAATCTACCCAAGACTAGCTGGTGAATGAAGTTTCTTAAAAAAGATATGAAATATGACCAGAGACATTCTTTTGCCTCTAGTTGTCTATAAGAATACATTGATAAATAAACTAATATTCCATGCCATCCAGGCTAGATAGAATACGAACAGAATACTGTTGTGTACAATATTGATGAGGTAACAAAGCACAAAAGCAATAGAGCTAGTGTAATTGAGCTAATACCCATTTGCAGCCAATACTGGATCTATGAGGGATCAACCATTTTATATTTTGGGGGTGGCCCAGGATTGTTTTGAATTTTTTGGGAGGATTCCTCCCCCAACAACCCCACCCAAGCCAAATTGTTCATCGGACAGGCTTGTTGTCTTGTATTAAAACAAGTTGTGGTTCCCCAAGAGAGTCTTATGCTCCTCCCAGAGCAACAAAACTGTAGCAGTGACATAAAAATACCCATACCATAAAAATGATTACCGTATTCGACGTAATAAGCGTAATAAAGTTGAGTATGTCTTGTCCCAGAAAGGTGCCCCACAAGTTCTCCTAGAAGGCTACACGTACAGGACGAAGAATGAAAATGTGTACTGGAGGATACGACATTGGTGGATGATGATGCCCCGGTTCCCACCTCGACTGTGGATATACCATGTGACACAAGGGCCCCATACAAACAACAACCTAGAAGGTTTCCACTCCAGAATCGGCAAGTCCCTCCAGCACAAGCATCCAAACATCTTCAGATTTATCGAACTGATCCAGAAGGTAGAAATTTCGGAGAGAGCGAAACTAGCGCAGATTCAATTTGGAGCAGCACCGCCACCCAGGAAGGTTGTCTACAGAGAGAAGGAACAGCTTCATCGCCGTGAAAAGACACCCCTTCAGTACCTGGATGCAGTTGGTCCACTGTTGATAAACAAGTGAAAATAACTGATAATCATAAATGACAATGAAATAACATTTGAATAAAAAATTGTCTACGTTTTTGGAGGATACCGAGAGCCCACCGCGATATTTGCTAATATATTGGCTAGTGAACAATCCCAATTAGCACCCCTTCCCATTGATCAATGTACATAAGTCTTATTTATTCGTGTATAAAACGCACTCGTGTGTTATATGCACCCTTAATTATGGGCAATTAAATTCTGGAAAATATATCTGTCGTGTATGATACGCACAGACTTTTCTTTTGTATCATTTCACTGTCAGCATAAACCACAAAGTTTTTGATCTTTCAACTCTGTTTTTTTTCTCACCAAAATTATATTCTAATAAGAATCCCCTATTTCTAAGTTTGAGAGCATCCCGTGCGCTTATTACGTCGAATACGGTATTAAAAGGTTGGCTCCCAGTAGAAGCAAACCCTGGTTTCAGTGCACCTGAGCCGTGTACAGAATAGAACTCCATGCACCTTTATCTTTGTAGAACACATAAGGCCAGAGCTGCTTCTTGTTTTACAGACAAGCCAAACTGAAATTTAGAAAAATAGAAAAACTAAAAAACAACAACTGTGTTTACACTTGTGAACACTTGCTTTCTGTAACTGATTATTTAGGTCCAAACATTTTTATTGTTTAGATGAGCCTACACCAAAATGTGCAGAAAACAAATATCTGTAATGATTCTGATTTTATCCTAGTCCGCCCCCTCAAAATGTGTTTCCAGTTTCCTGACTGTTTACCCAAGTCCACAAACTGATGTGTTCTGCAAAGACTGCAATTTATTTTCAAAACAATAATAAAGCAATAAAATATAAAATAAAAATACCTTCCTGCCCTATTTTGCAAAAGTCGAAGTAGGAAACCAATTTTTCTTTTTGTCCCTACCATAACGAAGTCCGTGCAGGGAAGGGAGAGGTCTACGAATCAGTGTGGAGGCCCAGCTCCTAACTACATCATACACAGTGGGTGTATTCAAGAAGTACATTCGGCTTATAACTTGGAAACAGTAATCAATGATTTCTTCAACCTTTCATCGCATACCTATCAAATACTTCTCCCCACATAGCTATTCTTGCCCTTGTAGTCCAGATTTCCAGATCAAAGAAAATCTTGTTGCCATGGTAGCCTTGTAACTTTGGCATCATTCAATGGAAGATTAAAACCTCCACTTCATTTTGAAAATACAGCATAATATTTCACACATGCACATGCACATGCACATGCACATATTTGTAATATAATTTTTGATTAATCGATTTGTAACATTTTAGTTTTGACACAAATCTCATCGTTCGTCACCATAAATACATTTGCATAATGTTCAGTTCTGCATTTGCTATATTTCTATACAAATTTGCATTACAAATTCACCCTGTGTTCTCTGAATGCCATTATTTATCTACAGTATACATCTTTTAAGAAAGGCTTCCTTTGGACATTCACGTTATGCACTATTCTGTATCGAGGCTCTCTGATTTCAATACATTATTGTTGTTGCACACACAAGCAAGCATTCAAGCTGGCAGAGGAAGGGAGGTAACTCTGATCACAGCATTGATCGACGGAATAACTGAACTATCACATACAAGGACATGACATGAAACAAGGTCCAGTACACATTAAATCAGCTGTATATATTGTAGGCAGGTTCAAGCTGCAAAAGCCATAGGAAAAATAACAAATGCAGTGGTCACAACTAAAACCACTCATATATATCAATATTGGGACCATTACATAAAACATTTATCATATTTACATTAAAACTATAGCATAAAACACATCTTAAGATTGGCTGTGTTTTTAGACTTTAAAGAACCATTTGAACACAAGACCTGCTACATTGCACATCATACTTCCCTCTGTAGTTTGATACGCTGAAGAATCACTACTACAGTATCAAAGCAATCAGAGCAGGGGAAGACTTGCCGTTCGTCGGCTGCACACACTTTTGCACAGTACAGTGCAAGGCAGTACACAATGAAGGTGGCCAGTTGGTTTTCACAGATGAGCGTGAGTCTCTTTGAAGAGTTTGTAGCCACTTTCTCCAGGTTAGTGGGTTATCTCCCTTGAACCATTACTGGCCATCTTGTTTCTTGAAGTGTTCACTTTGCAGGCTGACTTAATACATACTGTCTATCACAGGCTTCTTCTCTTATTTACCACATTATACAACTTGAGAAGTAAATATGTCGCCAACCTCATAATGTTAATGATACATGTTCCTTCTTTAGAAACCACATATATGTCTCCTGCTATCTTCAAATACATTTTCCCGAATTTGATCTCATTGAGATTTTGAGGTCAGAGAAGCATCATATGTAGGAAACATGTCCTGCTGAAATATGTTGCTAACACCAACAAGAGAATGGAGATCCTGCATCAGGATCATCTTATTGTGAGGTACTGTAAACACAACATTCCTCCTTCACCCGTGAATACATAGACTGCTTTGCCTATAGTCGCTATTTTTAACAAGTGAATCAAGCAAAGGCCTGGTTTTACTGACCAGCAAGTCCTTAGACCAATGAGTGTCCTGCTTACATCCCACGAACAGCAATGTTTCTCCCTTGACAACCTGTGCAACCAATGAGTGCCCAGCTTACATCCCGCGGACAGCAATGTTTCTCCCTTGACAACCTGTGCAACCAATGAGTGTCCTGCTTACATCCCACGGACAGCAATGTTTCTCCCTTGACAACCCGTGCAACCAATGAGTGTCCTGCTTACATCCCACGGACAGCAATGTTTCTCCCTTAACAACCTGTGCAACATGTCTCATGACCTTGTAACTTCATGCAATGCTTTTGTGGCAGACAGTTGAAGGTTTCACATTAAGTTTATGCACATGGAAGGGTTCATGACCTACCTTGAGCTTAAAAAGGCCTCATTTCATTAGCTTACTAAAACAAGTCACAAGTCACTTTACACCACATGGCAGACATATGTATTCACTGGTGATGGGAGGGTACACAAACTCATGAAGTGTTGACAATGCTTGTGAAGTATCGTTGATGGATACATGGATCATCAGCAAAGCTTGAGGACCACGATAACCAAGGGATATTGGAACAAAAACTGACAATGTCTATCACTCGATACACCACCAAAGCTTGATGATGAGGTTGATGATGCAAGATACAATTGAAAATCTAGTCCTCTGCCTGGTTTCCAATGGTGGATGACGCATCACTCCTAACAACAACAGGACCTAAAGGATACGGGCGATATTGTGGCAGGTTGCTGCTGGTCAAACGTAACTCTTGTCACAGATAAGTGTCTGAATCATCCATTCAGATCAGACCTTAATGATGGCTTCACCACAACAATGTTCAAGTTTAAGGCTTAAGTTTTCACCTGTAATCTACAACATCAGGTCAGCTTCAGGTCAGCCAGTAGCATCACCTCAGTGATGGCATCATTACAACAATGTCACCAGGGCCTAAAAAGTTTCTACCTGTGATCTACAACATCAGGTCAGCTTCAGGTCAGCCAGTAGCATCCCCTCAATGATGGCATCATCACAACAATGTCACCAGGGCCTAAAAAGTTTCTACCTGTATTCTACAACATCAGGTCAGCTTCAGGTCAGCCAGAGCATCACCTCAGTGATGGCATCATTACAACAATGTCACCAGGGCCTAAAAAGTTTCTACCTGTGATCTACAACATCAGGTCAGCTTCAGGTCAGCCAGAGCATCACCTCAGTGATGGCATCATCACAACAATGTCACCAGGGCCTAAGTTTCCACCTGTGATCTACAACATCAGGTCAGCTTCAGGTCAGCCAGAGCATCACCTCAGTGATGGCATCATCACAACAATGTCACCAGGGCCTAAGTTTCCACCTGTGATCTACAACATCAGGTCAGCTTCAGGTCAGCCAGTAGCATCCCCTCAATGTTATTACAACCTCTAAGGTCAACTGCAATCACACAACCATTCTACACTAACGTCTTGATCCGGTCAGTCACCAGTCGTGGCGTCATCACAGGAAGTATCAAAGGTAAGTATCAAAACTATCAACGTTGATGTAGAGAAACTCATGGCCAGGATTAGTTCTCAGATCAAGGTCTGCCTTATCCTCCATTCTGAAACATCAAGAAGACATGTTTAAATAGCAAGAAGGAGACAAGACGTCCACAAAAGTAAACTACATGTACAGTACCCAACACATTCAGCAGCCTGCTTATAAGGTGACTTAAGAACACGAATTTTCCAATTCTGTGTTTGATGATATTGCGCATATATTGGAATGTGAAACATTTTATTGTTGGCAGCAAAGTGGATGATAAAAATACATATACCGAATTGTTTTATCATTTTGTGATTTGAAAGTTGACCATCCTATGATAGAAGAAGAAAAACAACAACCCACAAACAGTCCATTCTGGGTACTTTTGGAATTTGGGAAATACATGAGGAGAAGGCAGTCAATTTTCCTTTTTTCAAATTCCTCAAATGTCATAGACATATAAATATGGTTCTTATCAGTATCGTTAAGAGTGAGTGAGTATGGTTTTAAGCTGCTTTTAGCAATATTCCAGCAAAACCACGACCGGGGGTACCAGAAATGGGCTTCACACATTGTACCCATGTCTGAAATCGAACCCGGGTCTTCGGCGTGACGAGCGTACGCTTTAACCACTACGCTATCCGACCGCCACGTATCAATCATTAAGACTGCCATGGAATGGATATGGGTTAATTAATAGAACAAAGAAATCAGGATCAAATTGTTGTAAGCTGTCCAAGTAGCCAAATTACAGGGATAAGATTATGGTATTTTTCACAACATAGGGATGGTGATTCCAATGAAATAGTAAATTTGTCATCCTTTGGCTTACACATTGTTTCAGTTGCATCAATACATGAATTCATGATCCAGGTACCACAAATGTTGAATAATGTATATATTATCAATCTAATAAACTCTTATTGCCTTTGATGAAGCCTGAAAGCTGGTATTAAGGGTTAATAATGTTGATAATATAAATAGCATATGTGTTAAGGATTAATACTATGTGATATGATTATATGTGATGTGATTTCTACAATGTTTTAACAAGCAAAGATTAATAGCTGCACATGGCATTAGCAAAACATTGTTATGTAACATTTTTCTTGTGTAAATGCTACTACAAATACAATAAAAAGAAACCTATCTCACGAAAGTAAATGTTACTAAAATAAGACAACCCAAAAAAAACCACTGCCGTTTAAATCCCCAACAGAAACAACCTGCAGTGCAGTTTGACAAAGCACTGATATAACGGTAGTCTTACAATTAGGCTTGCAGAACCAGCATGCAATACTTGTATTTAACCTCCAAGTCTCTCAGTCTGGATAAGATTTGGTCTAGCTGTGCTGGTTCATGTAGACTGCACTGCAGCTGATCATAATTTTTCAGTATGAAAAAACAGACAATTTGTGAAACCTGAAGAATTGATGACAATTTGCAATGATAAACATATAAAAGTTATTGGTCTTTCGATTACAATTCAAGAAAATATAATTTTGAAACATTACGTCCAACTGAAATGATAAAAATCTGTATACTTTTTCAAACATCCCTGGTTTTGAGGGCATAATTATATAATTTAAGGTTTCACTGAATTGTTTTTTATACAAACAAAATAACAAATTACATAAAGAATACACCCAAAATAAACATTCACAAAAAAACCATAAAATTAAAAAGTATGTACTAATGAACAACATATATGAAAACAAAGGTGAGTGAAAAAGACTTGAAAAGAACATGACAGATGTGACAGTGATACACTGCAAGACGTGAACCGAAATCAGTCACTGCTAATAACACACTTCATACATTGAGTGAAGTAGAACAATGGCATGAACAATTTCATGTGCAATGACACATTTGATTCACACCTTTGTCAATAGTTGTGTACAAACAACACCATAGAAAGGAAACAGAAAAACATCCATCAAGACCACAGAACAGAGAAGAGAAAGACCCCCTTTACCACAAGACACCAAATATATACTCACTGCATTCATAGTGTCAGAGCAAACAGAACTGAGAGTATCACTTCAACACATGGCATCAGCTGCTTTAATTTTGTTTGTGTGGGGTTAAAAAAGAGAGTAGTATTTCTGTCGTTTTAATAGATATCATCTCAGTTAAATCAGGAAAAACTTCAAGAAAAGTTTGCAATCAAGTCCCTGATCTGAGAGAGTGAATTTGGTTTAACACCACTTGGAACAATATTTCAGTTATATTACAGCATGTCAGGTTCATTTTGAAGGAAAGCCCAAAGCATGTCTTAGACATTTACCATGAGCACAAGTACGGTGCTGACAAACCTAGAAACATAATCAGGGGGAACTGGGATTTGAACCCATGATCATAGGTTTCTGGTGTGCCCAAGGGAAGCAACTCTGCAGTGAACTGTGGTGCCTTCCACGACTGGGAAACCCATACCCAATGTTGATTGTAAGAAACAATATTCTGTCTTGTGTAGGATAGCTATTGTGATCTTGTCATTAATATACAAAATAGTGATTTGAAAAAATGTCTCAGCAACTGGTAAAATGGAGATTTATCCCTTTGTTAAGCTACATTCTGTCCTTCTGGCATGCCTAGAGCAGGGGTGCACGCCCACTGATATTAGTCTAACCCTAGTCTGTCTTACAGACCCTGATATAAATATATCAAAAACAGCCCATGCAAGTCTATAATGTTTGGCAAGTCTAGATTACTGCAGTATCAGGAGAGAGTCTGGGCTCCTATGATATTTTTATTAAGATAATTGAGTGAGTGAGTGAGTTAAGTTGCCGCTTTTAACAGTATTACAGTTATATCGCGGCATGTCAGCTTAATGTAGGAGGAAAGCCAGGAGTGATGCAGGTCTGAGACGTTTACCACTTCGGTGAAACCCACGAGCATGGGTATGGTGCTGACAAACCTAAAAACATAATCGAGGCGAACCGGGATTCGAACCCACAATCATAGGGTTCTGGCGTGCCCAAGGGACGCAACTCTGCACAGCAAATCTAGTGTTAGAAAGTTAGCAATATGACTACACAGCTACATACTGTAAGTATGAACAGATCAGTTAAACAACTGTTTGGGCTGCATGTGTATGTGAAATTATCGCCGCTATTGACAAGCTATGTGCCACTCTGACGCCTACAGCGTGTTACAGCAGCATGCAATGAACATGCATGGAGGGTACAAACCTACACTATCCTCGCCGTGGTTGTCTCCAGCAGATTTCCAAAGCTTAGAGCATGGGAGCAAAAGCAAAGAACATGGGGTTATTGCACACCAACACATCACACCCAGCTAAAGCATTATCACAATTATTTTGAAATGAAATTAATCAAGTGAAGGCCCACATTCTTGTAGAATGTAGACAGGTTATTTTGTAAGAGTGCAAATGGACTTCGTGCCAAGATTTAATCTTTGAGGTTTTAACCAACATTGCCCTTAACTTTCATGTCTTTTACCCATGTTATGCCCATATCAATCAATTACTGGATGTTCTTGTATATTTGTTATGAAAAGATTATTCAAAATTAAGTTATTTAGAAACCTCAATATTCAAAACCAAATGATCCTATTACATTCTCTGAGGCATCTGGTCTGAAATTTAACTTTGCCTTTAACTTTTCACAAACATAATTCATTATGGAAATACATCAACATTTGAAACAAAATTTGTGGATAAACAAAACAACTTTTCTAATTCACCACTTGCCCTATTTTTCACGCTTTTAAGCAAACCGATGATAGTCGTCATGGTTACTTGTTGCTGATATCCGTTCCTTCATTGATGATCTTCACTTAGACTTCATCCACAGTTCACTTTTCTCGATCTTGTTTTTAAGACCCAGTGTCCACTTCAGCTCCGAAATATCATGCTTGTACTGACAATGTGACATACGAGTGCAATTCTCACTTTCAGGATTAAGTAAAAAGGAAGAAATCTTTTTTTCTCTATTCTTCAACTTGTCTTAGATGTATTCCTTTCCATTTGTCATAAACAGTGAAACCCCTTTTATCCAGACAGTACTGTATACAGTAAAGCCCCGTTAATCCAGACAGAACTGTATACACTGAAACCCTGTTGAACCAGACAGTACTTTATATATTACAACCCTGTTAATCCAGACAATGCTGTATACAGTGAAATCCTGTTAATCAAGACTGTACTGCATGTACCCTGTTAAACCATGTTTAACATGATAGTACTGCATACAGAGAAACACTGTTTATTCAGACTGTACTATACACAGTAAAGCCCTGTTAATCCAGACTGTACTGTATATATTACAACCCTGTTAATCCAGACATTACTGTATACACTGAAACCCTGTTGAACCAGACAGTACTTTATATATTACAACCCTGTTAATCCAGACAATGCTGTATACAGTGAAATCCTGTTAATCAAGACTGTACTTCATGTAGTTAAACCCTGTTAAACCATGTTAATCATGATAGTACTGCATACAGAGAAACACTGTTTATTCAGACTGTACTGTATACAGTAAAGCCCTGTTAATCCAGACTGTACTGTATATATTACAACCCTGTTAATCCAGACAGTACTGTATACGGTGAAAACCTACACTGTCCTGGGTAAAACTGCCGACATTTGCTGATTATCCAAACACCAGTATGGAGTAATGTCCCTTTGTGTGTTGACTTCCAAACAGAAATGTCTGGAAGACAGGTTTCCAGAATATCCAAGTTTCACTGTATAGCACTGAGAGGCAGTACATTCTTTTAAAGTCTTCAGAGACTGAAGAATATGCAGAAAGTTAGTGTATGAGGCACCTTGGTGATCAGGTGCATTCAGATTTTCAGATGTTTCTTTTAAATCTAAAACCGTTTAACCTTTTTTATAAAAGTGTATATGCATAAAAAAACATTTATCTTTCTTTCTTAATTGCTTAGAATACAATTTGCAGGAAATAAACTGCTCACAAATCAAGTTTTCTGACATAAGAACATAATTTACCTTTGAAAACAAATGCTCGTTAATTGTAGGCTATAGTATTGTAGTGTGGCTGACTTTGACCATCACATTGTAGGTTATCAAGTCATATGTTCAGACAC